CGGCGGCGGCGCGGCGCGAGGGCGGCGCCGCGCTGTTCGGCGCGCTTGGCGCTGTCGCTGGGAAGCCGGGCCTGCCCTGGGCGAGCTGGCTGGCGGCGGTGAATGTGTCGGACGACGTCCTCAAGGCGTCCGCGGATGCCGAGCCTGAGTCCGAGGGCGGCAGCGGGGGCGACAAGGATGTGGCGGCAGCGGCTACGGTGGCGGGGGTCGAGGTGATGTGGCTGCCGCCGCTGCTGCGGGGGTTGGAGAACTGCCTGACGAACTCCACAGTGTCCCAGGTGAGGGGGTGGGGGTTGCGCACCTGTCAAATGACTCTTCGTACAACAGCATCCTGTGGGAGTGAGCTGTGGAGCGGCTTTACCGCCCACGCTGACCGCCGGCACCATGCTGTGTAGCCCATGCAAGGCGGCTCCGCTGGCGCGTGAGCGTGCGACCCTCTCCCTACCCTTTCCCTGTTTATACCATCGACCTCCCTTCCTTGAGCCCATCCCGCCGGCGGTTTGACCCCACCACCCGCGATCTCATCGCCCAGCTGCGGCAGCGCGCCCTGGACGTCATATCACGCGCCCTGGACGCGGCACGGACGGCGACGGGCAGCAGCGGCGCCGCGCTGGTGGCGTCCCTCGAGGCCGCCGAGGCGACGGCGGGGCCCGCGGCGGCGGCGGCGGCGACGGCGGCGGCGGGGGCGGCGGCGGGCGCGGAGGCGGAGGCGGGTGCGGGTGGGATGGGAGCGATGGAGGTGGACGCGCGGCCGCTTGGGGCGGCGCTGGATGGCGCTCTGAGGGGCGTGGTGGACCATGAGCCGGCGGCGGCGCTCAAGGCGGCGGCGGCAGCGTTGCTCAAACGGCTGGCGTGATCGGGGAGGGTGCTCGTTGAGATGGGCTGGGCGCGTGGGATGAGGGATCTTGGGCATTTATGCTAGGAGAGATGAGTGCAGATAGGCGAGCAAGCTGACGGTCCTTCAGTACAGGCTCCTCCTCACAGGCTCAGGGCATCGGCCGGCCATTTGCGGTGCAAACCCGAAGTGGTTGATGGCTGTCAACTGCTTTGTCGAGGGGCTGCGCAGTGTAAACGCAAATGAGGTCAACTGAAGGCAAGCGTCTTTGAAGAATGGCGGTTCAAGCAGCATGGGTGGTCTGTTGCAAGCATGCACCAAGCTCGACGCCATCACCACGCGCAGGCATTGTCACGCAGCGGGAGCGCTCACCACCCTCTGTGCACGCAGCTGAGACAGCCATCAGCAGACGCTCCCTGAAATCAAGTACCAATGTAATAAAAAGCGCTATGTTGTCACCAATTGCCGCCTTCGAACCCATGGCGGTGCTCAGTACTTTAGGGCGTAGCCGCCCGGGTCCGGCCACCAGCGTTTGCTTTGCACGTTCTCCGTGAGGCGTTCATGTTGGTACGTTCACACCTCGTGATTGAATGCGTTTCCTTGTTTCGTCTTTCTTGATCGTTCACCACTTGATGATAGCCTCAACATTGCCGGGAGTGACACAAAGTGAAGTGACCCGCGCAAGGCTTGCAATACCAGTGCGCAGGCATGAGGCGCGGGCTGGCGTTATGCTTGATTATAGCTGGTGAGTTGTACTGGCTTGGCTGTGCGCTGTGCAGGGAACATGGCTAGGGCATGCAACGCTGAGGTGGTGCTCGCCCATGAGCACCACGCTCTTGTATGAAACGGGCACCCCTTGATCACAGCCCCGCACGCAGCTTGCCTTACTGACTGCTACGAGCGCTGCTGTGATCCTAAACCACAACAGGCGGCGCGTTGGCACAAGTGCCGTACACGCCAGCAGCTGCATACCTTGCAGGGGTGGCGCCTGTCGGGTATGCGCCCGCTCCTTCCGCGGTAGCAGGTGAGCTTGGTGGCAGAGGACCTCACGAGGAGCGGCACAACAGACCTCTCTTCCACTTTGTGAAGGGCCGGCTCCTGTTCTGGTTCTGCACAGCGCGCATGGTGCGCGCCATCAGTGTGCCCCCCGACCCATCGACCGCTGCCATTCGACACACATGCCTGCGGGGGCCGCTTCAATGCACGCTTCAGCCGACCACGCTGCGCCCTGTTCCTCTATTGCAGCAGGTTATGGCTCCGTGCCAGGATATGGGTCCCAGCAGCCGTTTGCCGCTCAGGGCGCTGCGCAGCCTATGGCAGCAATCGGTGCGTACGCCCCCGCCCCAGGGGCGGCCAGTGCGTTGCCAGGCGCCTTCCCAGGAGCCCCAGGTGCGGCAAGCGCCGTCACCTGGATTCATGCATGTTGTGTCACCAAACCCCACTTGTTGGCGTGATGTGCTATCAAAGATCTGACACAGGCGCACACACTCCTCATGTCTTCTTGCTAGCAGTGCACAGCAAGCACTTGAACAGCCGCCTGCATCTTGGGCGCACCCTCAAATGAGTCATGTCCTGCCCTCGCCATACGGCCCAGGCGCAACCCTGATGATCCCAGCGGCGACCTCCATTGCTGCGCCCCCGCCACTCGCGCGGCCCCTGCGGCCGCCGAGCCCACCCATCCCAGCGGATGGCAAGTGAGTGACGCACTCGCACTTGCAGATAGATGTACGCGTGCATGCGTGTGTGCGTGCGCGCTTGTAACGGCCGGGGCAAGCGTCTGCTGAGCCTGCCCATTCTGTGGGCGTGTTGCACTGGCTCGTATTACAGTGCAATTCCTTCAGACAGGTGCGCGATTTGGAAGGTCTCACTTACCTCTCGAGTGCACCAACATCACAGTCAACCAAGCATCAACGTCCCGCGACCAACAAACCCCAGGTTTGATCCCCAATGGGACGACCTCAGAGACTTCACTGACACACGCGACGCAATTGTAAGTGTTAGCGCCCCCACTGCTTGCCAGGGTGCAGGCGCTTGCTGCAGACGAGGACACTGAGATTGAAGCAAGCACGGTACCTGGTGCTGAACCCTGACTAAGAAAGGCTTGCCCAAGTGCACGGGCCTAATAGACTGCTGATTGTACGCAACAAGTTCAATACAACCCAACACCGCGTCACCTCAGCCAAAGCACGCACGGGGTTCTAAAAAGCATGGGGTTGACTGATCAGCGGCCACAATCAGTCTGAGCGAAGCCGCGCCCGCCCGGCCGTTTGCAGGTGTCAATGCAAGTTGCGGGGACGCCTGAAGGCGTGTTCTGGTCCCAGCAGGGCTTCAGGAGCGCAGTGGCAAAGACCGCAGGCGTGCCGCCAAGCGCGGTTTACTGGTACAGGGTGCGCCACGGCGACCTTGTCTGAATGGCCAGTCGCTTGTACTTCCCCACCTCGCCCCCTCTACATCAGCAGTGGAGCAGCGCATGTGAGGCTGACGCCACCGGCTCAGTCCTGGGCACCCGCGCTGACCCGCTAGCGGCTGTGTCTCTCACCAAATCACCTGGGGTGATGCATGCCTTCCCCGCGCAGGTACTTCCAAACAGGGATGCTTTCGGTCGGACCTTGACCGAGATTTCATTTGTGATCAAGGTGATGGGTTGGCCGATTACGCACGCTCGGGGCCCGCCTTTCTGTGCAACACTTGTTGTGCACACACAGTAAGGTATCTTGACAAAACATACCGTGGGCCTGCCGCAACAAAATTGGAAACGCAGTCTAAGGACCCCGGGGCCGTCATAGCCAAGCTTACCATCGAGCAAAACCAGATTACAATCAAGAACAGGATTGGTGAGATGTCGGCCGCGTGCGCTAGCGCAGGCGGGCAACTTGCGCTTCAATAAAACTTTTTAAGTCGAAGCCGCCCTCAAGTTTGGCTGGCTTGAATCCTTTTGGACAGGAAGAACGAGCATTGCCGCCCGCCACTCAGCGCTCGCCTGGGTTACACGGGCGCTCGAGGCGCAACACTTGATTATGTGTAGTCTGCTTCTGACTAAAGGTCTGTGTCCTGGCGCCGCTTTCCGTTGGCTGTGCGAAGAGGAGCTGAAGCTTGAGCTAATTGGTGAGCTCGCAGGGTGGGGGGTTGGCGCGCGCGCGCGCGCGTGTGTGTGTGTGTGGAGGGGGTGTGGTCAGGAGTTGGGGTTGCACCGCTTGTATTGGCGTTTGTGGTGGTGCTGGGCATCACGGTGGGTGCAGGCCGAGTCTGCTCACATGCAGCTCCTCCGGGGTGCAGGGGCGGCTGGCTGCGCCTGCCTGCACCAGATGCGGGCGGACGTCAACCTCAGCAACCGCCTCATCCCTCCTCGACAAAGCCGCGGCTCCGGCCACCGGGTATCTTGACGCTTGCAATCCTTGCTGTGGCCGCGCGTCCGCCTTATCCTGTGCAATCAACGTCCTTGCCATCGCTCCATTTCTTCCACAGGCAACACCCTGAGGGCGGAGAGTCCTACAGAATACACCGCCCGCAGCAAGGCAGGCACGGCACCCCTGCCATCCAATGCAATGGTTACGAACGCGGGCGGGATGAGCGGCCCTGGCGGCGGCGGGATGGCCACGGGCGCTGGGGGGCTGCAGGCGGGGCTGACCCCTGGCCTTGGCGCGGGTCTGGCAGGTGGGCGAGGGCGGCCGACTCGGTTTAGTGCTTCCAGGGCAAGGCGTGGTCATGTCTGTATCTGGGTGGAAGCTGCGAGCAAGCGGGACCCAGGCCTTGCATGTGCAGGCGGTTGCAATCACACGCAGCAAATTGCAGGGTTTCTGGCTGAGGCAGGGATGTGAAGCTCAGCCGGTCCTGATCAATGTCGCTCCGCCTGTGTTTCAAATCCATACAGCCCCTGGTATGGCTGGCCCCGGGCCGTTACTGCCGAGCTCTGGGCTCACGGGCGGTGCTGGTGTCCTTGGTGGAGCCCCTGCTGGCGGCATCGCCGGCAGCTCGACACTGGGTGCGCTTGGCACCAGCGGCGCCGCCGGAGGCGCCTTGCAGCCGCTTGTCAGGAGACGTCAGCAGCAGCCGGAGAACGGTGCCGAGACGGGACGGCCTTTGTGGATGGCGCTCGTATTTGCGCTCGTTGCTGGGGCGCTGCAGCTGGCGTGAACCACTTGAAAGCTTGGGGCAGGCAAGGCTTGCGCCTTACGCAGACAGCAGTGTGTGCTTTGTCCCACATCCTGCAAAAGGCGGCAAAAACCAGCAGCTTGCGCGATTGTTTCTTCTACAGCATTTGCACACAAACAACGGCACTTAATCGAGAATTTGCACACTGGATGATCGTCATCATGGACGTAGTCGTTTTGAAACACCTGTTGATCACATGTGCTGACCCTGCCTAAAAGATAATGTGTCCAACCGCGAGTCACCCTCAAGTCTTGGCCAGTACCATAGGTCAGCCGCAGGTCGAGTGTAAGAGGAGACCTACGTGCTGTACGGTGTGTGAGGCCTCTTGCAGAGTAGCAGCCCAACTATTGAGCATCAACCAAGGTGGCACGCAGCCGTGAGGCCGGCTTCACAGCACTGCTGACTTCCGGGTCAGCAAATTCCTCACTACCTGCATTTAATCCAATGGGCTTCCGTTGCAGACTCTCGTCTCGCAGCCAGTGTCAGGGGAGGGAACTCAGGAAAGGACCACAGTTGCCACCGCAGCCATGGATCCAGGGTGGAAGCCACCTTCAACGCGGAGGTGTGGCTATGTCGGGCTGTATTGTATATTTGTGAAGATGAATAAAGATGTGCCGTACTACTAGCAACTCATCGTGATTGCCCCTCGAATCCCTGGAGACAATGTGATATGGTTGCCTGCCAGCAATCGGGCGTATGTTCACTGCTTCCCAGTGCAGTTCGTGTATTCACAGTCTTAGGTCTTATTCGCGCTGCAGGACCACGCTGCATCCCACTCACCCCTTGTGCACCATCCACCGGACGCACCCACCTGCCGTGTCTTCTTGAATCGGCAAACACGAGACGAATCACCATGCAGCGCGCTATGTCGATCGTATCGTGCCTAGTGCTCTATGTCCTAGCCGTCTCCGGCCAGGCAGCAGCGGCCAAGTGCGATCCGCCCTGCACTCGCAACGGCGCTTGTGTAGACAGTGAGTATATGCGAGATAAATCTGTTTGTATCTCCAAGCCTCATGCTGAAGGGCAGCGCCTGGACTTGTGCTCAGCCCCGCCTGCGCCAGTGCAGTGCGGCTGGGGGTGGCTGGCCGCCTGGGAGGTTGCACATGCAGCCTGCTTGGTGGTCAGACACCTTTGAGCAGCCACGGACGCGCAGCAACCTCGGTGCGGAGAGTGGCAGCGATTCTGCTGCACTGGCTGAGTAAGATGTGTGCCCCTGCACAAACAACCCCAGCGCACACATGCATACGCCCCCGCCCACGCTGGCGGCCCGTCAGTACACGCGCCCGCAGCCACGCCTCACAGCTCGCCGTCCTCACCGCCCACACCCTCCTTAGACGATGGTGTCTCTTACTGCAAGTGCACCCCGGGCTTCTGGGGAGAGACGTGCGCGGCGGTTTACCAGGGTAAGGGGTAGAGCACATTTGGCAGGTTGTGGCACCTGCGAGGCGCGGTATGGTGGTTGGCAGTACATGCACATGCACATGCATGCCAGTCATATTTGTGTCATCAACAAACACACCTGAGGTGTGCCACAGTTTTGCCCGTGGGTCAATTCAATTGTTGGCGCCTTCCTCGCCTTGCTCATTCGCAGAGTGCAAGAAGGGTGAGGCCCTCTGAACATGGCCGCGAGGCGGCCTGGCATCCAAGACCTGCCAACCTGCGCAGGGCAGCCTGTTTGCCGTTTGCGACATCAGCAAGCATGCTGGTTGTGCAGCAGCAGCAGCAGGAGCAGCAGGAGCAGGAGCAGCCACAGCGAAGGCGACGGCTGCGGCGACGGTGGCGGCTGCGGCTGCGGAGGCAGCGCCCCACGTGTGCAAGCACGCACGCAAATTTGCAGCTGCAGCCAAACCGAGCCATAAGTGCCCGAACAGCAATCAGGGATTTTACCTCTTTAACTTTGCCTTGCTCTGCAATCACAAATCCTTGCCAGGTCTGGTGTGCTACAACGCGGGGAAATGCGTTCAGGACCCCAGCAAGCCTGACCAGGAGACCTGCGCCTGCGCCAGTGAGTGCCACCCATCAGGCTATCACTGCGGGTTGGCTTGGCTTTGACCAGGACATACAGCTGCGTGGCCTTGGTGCATGGAACACAGCTGCAACCTGCATCCTGTGCACCGCGGCCGCTCGCCCGCCCTACGCCCGACACGGCCGCCCTGCTCGCTGCAACACTGTAGAGGGCTGGACCGGTTCAACGTGCAAGGTGCCCCAGGTGATCTGCGGCAACAGTACCCTCTCCTGCATGAACGGCGGCCAGTGCCTGCTGGACGAGGCCGTCAACGAGTACTTCTGCAAGTGCCCGCCCAACCTGCGCGGCCGCCAGTGCCAGTTTGGCGTGAATGAGTGCAAGGAGGGCATGTTCTGGTGAGAACCCCGGATCGATCGCCATTGGCCTGTGCTGCAGCTGCGAGTTGCTTGTATGTCCGCACTCACCAGTTGGACATGTGGGGCTTGAATCTGACTTGGGACCGGCTGTGCTCTTCTCGTTTGCGAATGGTGTCAGAACTTGATGCTGACCCTCCCCCCACGCGCCCACCTGCAGCATGAACAATGGGAGGTGCCAGGACGAGGGCAACACCTGCCAGTGCCCCTCCGGCTTCTTTGGCATTCACTGCCAGAACAACGAGAGGTGGGGGCCTTCCTGTGCAGCTGCGCAGAGGAAATTGTCTTGCGTATGCTACTTGTGCTCCTCATGGCTCAATCATTGATTCGGTTGCAAATCCAACCACTCACCATTTGCAGCTGTCCCTCCAAGCAAGCGCTCCTTGACGATTCCATACCCAAAACCGCCCCCGCGCTCCCACAGGGACCCCTTTGCCGACCTCATCCCCCGCAAGACGCTGCCCACCTACGCCATCGCCCTCATCGTCGTCGCCGCGCTCATTGCTGTCGCGGCTATCGGCATGATCGCGTTCCTGGTGGTCCGCGAGCGCCGCGGCCGCCCCTACTTCAAGAGTTGGCAGGAGGGCACCGGCTCTGGCCTGCAGGGCACGCTCTAAGCCCCACAGCGCATTCACATGGGCGCAAACGATTGGTGGGCTGGCCCTGCAGCGATGAGGCGTGCCTCGTGTCCTTCTGGCTGCTGAGCTTCATATGCCCCCAACAGGGCTCTCTGCTCGGGGCCAGGCGTTTGAGCGTAGGCCACCGCCAATGATGGCAGCGTGCAATAAAAATACGCTTGCCCTGTAGATATTGCGGCGGTTCCTACCACTCTGTGGTGGCATGGTTTGCCCAATGCCTTCTGCGGCACGTGCGCCAGGCTGGTGCCGGCCATTTGTCGGGCGGCCATTGGCGTGCGCTTTCTCTGATGGCAGGCTTGAACGCCATGGTGGAGAGCGCGCGGGCGCATGCATTGCTCACAACAACTGCTGCCAGGATGGAGCAGCAGGCCACATGACTCACTTGGACTGCTGCGCTCGCTGTCCATTCAAATTGCGACCCTCGGCTGCCCGGAGCCCAAGTCCGCCTGCGCATTGGTTTTGGGGCGAGACAAGAACGCAAACGCACACACCGCAGCTCGCTTCTGTGCACAAGGCGCTGCGCTACGAATTGCATTTGATTCAGTGGTTGCCTGCTGCCAATGCCTCGCGGCACAAATTCACTGCATATTTCTGTAAAGAATGACCTGTGACAGGAGCATGTACGGAGTAACCTATTGGTGGAGGCTTTGCCAGCACAGTGACGTGCAGGCCCCCCATGACATTGTGCCATGTGTTGACTGGTATGACGGGTCGCAGTGCCAGTCAATGCTGGGCGAATGCTGCTGCTGCTGGTCGAATCCTAGTCCTAGTCCTACTCAGGGAGCGTCCGTCCCGCTGCATCGGCCGAAGCGGCGCTCCTGGGCCGCTGCACCAGCAGGCGCGAGTGCCCAGCAATGTAGGAGGCCAACATGAGCTTATATGCCGGGTTTGAAGGCCGGGTAAGCCGTGTAGAGCAAAGCCTGTGTTCATCCCCCCGCTTCAGACATCAGGAAGTGCCCTTTGCCGCTCGAGACATAACACTAAAAGCAGGAGGATTTCAAACCTCGCATTCACGTACGCGCATACACGGTCGTCACCCGCACCAAGCCCGCGACTTCCCAACGACTTCCACACTTCAACATACTGTGCGTACACACGTCGTCTTCCATTTGCACATTTAAGTACAGCTCACTTTCAACACCTGGGTTTGTGCCGGTCAGCTCGCAGCACAACAATTGATGCTGCACAGCATTGACAGTTGCTTGATGTTTGAACACGTATGGCATCGCCACGACCGACTGACTATCACTATTGCGCGAACGCCATTAAAGGAGATTGGATTTGTTGTGTAGATGACGTTTGACGCAGGAATGCAGATTATTGTTGAACCACACTGCCCGGCGACGGGTCCGGTGCTGCAGTAGCGCAAGTCAGGCCTGATTGCAAAGGCCCAACACGCCCTCGCTGGGCGGAGCAGTGACAGCACGCGGCTCTTGGGAGTGTGGTTAAACACTACCTGCCGGCGTCTGTGGCTGTTGCGGTTGGGCGCCTCTGCCAAAACTGGCGGCTCTGGGCGCGTGCAAATCAGCCACAGCTGCAGGCGTGCCGGGCAGCTCCAGTTCAGGAGGAGTCAAGGTGGCCGTTGTGCTACTTTGAGGAGGTGTAGCCGTCGCTCAGCTACAGCAAATAGATCAAGCTGATCTCCTCAAAGGAAAGCACCCTCCAAAACAAAGGTCGCCACAGGCTCCAAAAAGGGCGAGAGGGGCTTGCCCCCCCGCCTCAGGAACACTCCCTCGTGACAGTGATAGGCCCCCATTCATGCTTTGCAGCCGCCAGCTTTCATTGCTTTTTGGAGTGCATATGCGCACGGTCAGCTTTACCTTGCCGCCTCCTGCATTGGCTGTCGGGAGGGCGTTCGGTTATTGGTGCCCAGCGGCATGTGGCGCGCCCTGGGGCACGTCCCTGCTGGATGG